CCAAGACCAGGAGAGCAAGGACAGGGACTCTGCACCCGCATGCAGTCCCAAATGCGCCATGGGAAATCATCTCCATGGATCAAATCGGACCCCTACCGGTCAGTAATGGGTATGACGCAATTCATGTGTGGTGTGACACCTTCACCAAAATGATCCATGTCGAACCAATTAGTACTGACATCAGCAGTGAAGGAGTCGCATGATTAACCAGGGACCGAGTCTTCCGCTACCACGGGATCCCCCGCAAGATCATCACCGACAGGGATTCACGTTACATCAAAGGCTTCATGAAGGAGACAAATCGGATGTTGGGCGTAGAGATGAATCCGGGGACCGCATATCACCCAATCACAGATGGACAAATGGAATGCATGAACCAGGAGATCGAACACTATCTCCGCATCTACGTCAACTACCATCAGACGGACTGGTCAGAGTGGCTGGGAATGGCGGAGTTCGCATACAATGACAAGATGAACACGTCTACCAAAATATTGCCATTCTATGCAAATCACGGATATCACCCATGGAAGGGAGTGGAGCAACGGATGGAGTCAAGAAACGAGTCGGCGGAGGAATTTGTAAAAAGAATCAAAGAAATACAAGACGAAGCAAAAGCAGCACTAGAAAAAGCAAAAGAAAAAATGAAAAAATACTACGATAAACAAAGAAAAGAAGTTCCGGAGTTGAAGGTTGGGATGAAGGTGTACATAGAAGGGGACAATATCAAGACGGATCGACCATCAAAGAAGATGAGCGACAAGAGATTGGGACCGTACAAGATACTGGAGAAGGTTGGAGCGGCTGCATGGAAGCTGGACCTGCCAGACACAGACCGAAGACATCCGGTGTTCAACGAGTCACTGTTGACACCCTATCACGAACCACCCCCCCATCGCCGAGAGAAGAGACCTGTAGCCAAGATGATCGGAGGAGCAGAAGAGTGGGAAGTCGAAGAAATCGTGAAAGAGCGAAATGTCGGCCGAGGAAAACAGTACTTGGTCAAATGGAAGGGATGGCCGCACAGGGAGAACACCTGGGAACCGTCACGTCACCTTACCCACGCGAAGAAGGTCCTGAGAGATTGGCAGAGGAAACAATCCAACCCAGACACACGCATTCGCCTCCTGCCAACTCTCGAAGCCGGACATTGGGATTACCTCATCCATCGCTACAAACCCAAAGACGAGCGCCTTCCATATCCACAGCGACAACTCTTCAATCCCTACGAAAACGTCTTCACGCCCATCGGCCTAGTCGATGAGGACATTGACCCTAGAGAGGGGGTAATGTCATAATTCAACTCTTTTTCACCTTATCATCGGCGATCTTATCTTATCTTGGCACGACTTATCTTATCACGGATCACGGCATCAGACGGTCCGGGCTAGGGGTTCCAGGGGTTATCTCTATCGATTCGATGCTGCGCGACATATGCTCCAGAAGGTTCTACTACAACCCATGACCAGTGCTCCATGCGGTACATAGCCCTATGACTCATTAGTTGTAGATATGACTCAGACTGGATTTGGGTATAAATACTGTAGCTATTTGGTTGTATTCTCCAGTCTTCGAATTCACTTCTCTTTTCGACTTTGTTTTTGGGTTGATTGTCACAGAGACCCTAATAGGGTACCAAAAGTGGTCATTTTTTAGCCTTAAGAGGGTCCAAGACCACTCAGTGGTCTCAGACCATCCACTTTTTTGGGCACAACCACCCATCCCAGATGCAGTAGCACACCCTATTTTGAGTGTTGAAAAGGGTAGTCTTGACCATTTTTTGGCCTTTGGTTGCAACCACCCTGTGATCATGCATTTGTGATTGCTCCAATTAGCCTTCTGGGCTGCTTGTATGGGCTGTTCAGCTTGTAGATGAGTACAATGGGGGTGCACTCAGCCCATCCCAAGAGGAGGATGTTGTATCCAGCCCCAGGGCCAGCCGTAGGCCAGGGGAAAAAATTTCTCAAATGCTCCAATTAGCCTTGCAGGCTGCTTGTATGGGCTGTTCAGCTTATAAACAAGTACACTGGGGGTGAATCAAGATCATGCCAAGTAGAGGGTGCTGTATCTGGCTACACAGTGGGCCATAGGCCAGGAAAGAAAATCACCCTCTGCTGGCTCAAGTGGGTGGTTGCAACCACCACAGGGGCTGGATGTGGTCAGAACGATCCTGTCCTCATGCATTTGTGAATGCTCTGTTTACCCTTTTGGGCAGCCTGTATGGGTGTTTCAGCTTGTATACAAGAACATTGAGGGTGCATTCCCATAGACAGATGCTGTATTTGAACCCACAGCTGGCCGTAGGCTGGGAAAGAAAAAAATTGTGAATGCTCCAATGACTTTGTAGGCTGCTTGTATGGTTTGAGCTTGTAAAGAAGTACACTCAGAATTGTCTATTTTTAGCACATCCTGGAGCACTTGACCACAATTGAAAATCAGCATAGGGTATTGTCTAGAAAAAGGATGTTGATTTCCCATCACTTTCTATACCAGCATCAGTCATGTCCTTCACTACCATATGGAATAGCACAGCTTTTGATTGCACATCAATTTTTGATGATGCTAATGATGTAATATGAGTTTATAATCAGTTCACCAGTAGAGCCCTGATAGGGAAGAAATACAATGAATTATCACAGGTTACAAGCCAAGGTGACAATTTCATTTTTCCTCAGATTGGGTCTGCATCATGTCTGGTCATTAATATTGGGTGTTTCCAGATTTTTGCGGCAGGATTTTACCACCTGACAATTCTTTTGTCTTGTCACAGATTGCAGACCTATCTGACAGATTGACAAATTGGTGCCAGATTGTCACTTGTCACAGGGGGTGGCAAACTGATTATAAAGTTACAGTAAATCCTAATATCATCTTAACTGTCAGACCCTGATTGGCATCATCTGCTTACTCAATTTATGCTCATGTTGTTGGTTCTCTCTTAGCTATTCAGGGGCTATTTTTCCATGTAATCACTTACATTTGTGCTCTTCCAAGCCATTGCACTGTTGTACAATGCCTCCATACTCTGATTCTTTTATTGATATCCTACATAGCTTTCAATAACAGCACATGTTTCTCTAAGCATATCCCTCTTCCTTTCCAACACTGTATGCTTCTCTAGCAATGTGCTGCTGTCTTATATCACATAGTAGAGCCAGCTATTAAAGGAACAGAAAAAGCAGTGGAAGCAAGGGTAACAGGTAGAAATGAAAGTCACTCTTGTAATGCAGATATTCTTGCTTCAGTCACCCTAAGCAATGTGCTACTCCATTACAGTAAGCTATTTGGGAATTTTAAAGACCTCATTGCTAAGATCCTGCTCTATCTATTTTATTCAGGTGCAACTGATTTTACAGTAGCAATCTAAAAGGAACTGTGTAAGTGAGTTCCAAGCTCTTCTCAATGTTGAAGTGTACTTCTGAATTCGCATTTCTCAGCGCAAAGGTAGAGCTTGTTCTCGCGGATACGTCAAAGGGCTTTGTTCACGATTTCCCAGTGACGGTGGATATTGGAATGCGCAATGAGAATGTTGTCGAGGTACACCATAAGGTCGCCAGAGAGGATGAGGTCCTGAAGTATGTCATTCATTATTGTCTGGAACATCGCGGGGGAATTGGTCAGGCCAAAATACATCACCAACGGCTCAAAGAGCCCGCGGTTTGTCCAAAACGCTGCCTTCCACTCGTCACCTTGACAAATGCGCACGTTGTTGAAGCCCCAGTGAACATCAAGTTTGGTGAAGAACTAAGCTCCCTTCAGCTTGTTGATGAGATTGTTGATTAGGGGGAGCGGATAGTGGTTCTTCACTGTCATTGTGTTCAGTGCTTGGTAATCTTGGACAAACTGTAAGCTGCCGTCCTTCTTCTTCACAAAGAAGACAGGGGATGCCATGGGTGATTTTGATGGCCAAATCCTGCTAGTAGCTATGCCCTCCTCAATGAATTCGTCGAGTTGCTTCTGTTTGAGAGGGGAGATGGGGTAGACCTTACAGTTGGTTGGCTTCGTATCGGGGACCAGTTCAATGGCATGATTCCAGGGGCGTCGCTCTGGCAGGTTGTCGAAGGACTCCTTGCTGAAAACATCCTCAAACTCGCAGGCCCACTCAGGGATGGAATCCCGAGGAGGTGCAGAGTTCTTGGCAAACGCTTTGGCAAGTTGCTGAGAGACAGTGCTGGTGGCTTGGATGTTTCCAGAAGGGTTGAAGCGGGTGTAAAAGATACGGTCACCGGCTTCCAAGGCGTCATCATCTTCTTTGACATCTTCAGGGTCGTAATCGTCTGAATCTGGCAAAAGCTCTAGTATCTCTTTGTCCTCGTGGTGCTCAACATTGACAGCGCAGATTGATGGGACTGGACCTTGGCAGATGGTTCAAAGCATCTGGGCCGCGGTCCTGGCAGATCGATGTTCTTTGCAAAGTTCCTCCCAGCAAATAGAGCAGCCAGAAGGGCAGCGGCTCATCTTTACCTCCTGGGTATCCCAGTTGATCTCCGGGTTGTGCTTCCGGAGCCATGAGTACCCTAGAATGAGCTGCTGCTTGCCTAAATGGGTGACAGCAAGCTGTGTGCATTTACTGTTGCCCTGATAACGGAGAACCACATTGGCGACTTTGCAAATGGAACCGGCTTTGTTTAGCGTGCCATTCACATTGTAAATGGGGATTGGCTGGGTAAGACGTCAAACAGGGAGGTGATTTTTGAGGACGTAGTCTGAGTCAATGAAGTTGGATGTGGCACCACAATCGACCAGACCTTTGAGAGATAACTTCACTGCGTTGTTGGTGGACTCAATCTCGAGGGGGAGGTGGAGAGAATTGGCCCCAGGAGAGGCGGCAGCAACATAGCAGGAAAGGAGCTTGTGTTCCCACTTCTCCTTATGGACTCGTGGGATGGGAGAGGGAGCAGGGTGTACGTCTATTGCTTCAAATGTTGCAGAGTGGAGGGAATTGGATTCATCATACAAACAGGATAAAGGATTACACAAAGCAAACAAGGGCGTACTACTCACTTGTTGCTGGGGGAAAAACCCTGCTCCTCCTCAGCTGCGACGTTGGATGCATGATCCGCAACAGCTGCAGTAGTCGCGACCCAAGCGACCAACTCGGAGAGCAACTCACTTCCCAACTGATTGATGACCTTGTCAAGGACATTGGCGTGACATATATCAGCTGGAGTGGGGCAGTCACGGGCAAGATGGCCTGGACTGCCGCAGCGGAAGCAGGTGCAGCAAAAGTCACCACGGAGCCAGGTCCAATCCAACTCCATGGGGATGAGGTGGGCAACAGGAGCCGGCGCCGGACAGGCAGCAATAGCCGGTGCTACAGCAGGGAGCACCAGGGCATGAGGACGAGGGACAATAGGGGACACTTGAGGGGGAAGGACATGGCCTCAAGACGCCTTGGCAGCCTGTTCCGCATTGTACTGCCGGAATGCACGGACATGCTGATAGGCTGGCTACCAGACGCGCTCTGCACCAGCTCTGTAAGGGCGTATTTTTGCGCTTTTTACAGAGTTTACTCTTGAACCACTCGGTGTATCGTGTCGCGGTTAACAGTGTTGCGCTCAGTAGGACTTAAGGGTCTACTGCCCAGTCGACAACTGTGGATAGTGTCAACAATAGCAAGGCATTCAGACCACTACTGTGGAATTGGTCTTATGGGTCTATACCAGGCTCAGGGCTATTAGTGACGGACACTCGGACCGCGACAATTCCCTAAAAGGGATACTTTGTTGCGGCGACTTCTCAAAAGGGTCATTCTCTGCAGATGGGAACTTGGGCTGAAGGGCTTAGCAATGTGCGACGTTCTCAATATTACAACTATTACTGGACAGGGCTTGGCGTTATGAGGTTGAACCAATCTTGTCGCGGCAACTCCCGGTTTTGAGTTGAACGTTTCCTCAGATCGTGCCACGGCGACGACTTGTCACATGTCAGGATCCATTCAATCACGGGACATTGTGGACACGTTGCGGTGACACTTCAAGTGTCACGGCAAGTTGCGCCCATACCCAAACACACAAAAATCGACACGGGCTAGACCCGTGAACCGAACCATGTGAGGAACGCCTGGCGTGCCTAGGGCCATACGGCTTCTTGGGGCGCCCACGTTGGTCTCACTTGCCAAGACATACCCGTTGGCCAATCCAACACGTCATATTCCAAAAGTATGACGTGGTGGGTTGACCCACATCAAAAGTATCATATGGACTATGGGGCGGGGTCCTGATCACTCAGGACCTGTCCGATCGTTCAACTTTTCAATTACTCTAAAAGGCAACCGATCTTAGATAGCGTAGCTACTATGCAGTTGTACAGGACTTTACTAAGCATTGTCGTAGACAGTATAAGTAGCACGTCGTTTCTTTGTATTAAAAAAGCTTTCCCCCGGACTGTGAATCACTCTCATATCAGATTGTTTTGTACAATTTGCATGCCGCGTGATTCCACCCTAAGAAGTTCTGCTACCCTTGCCTGGTCGCGACGAGTTGCTCCCTGAGCACTTGTAGCTACTGTGATTTGAGTTTGAGTTTTGAGACATCAGAAAGTCGGATTCGCCGCATCTGGTTTAGTCGCGGCAACTTGGTGTCATTGCCTTTGGGCTTTGTTGAGATCGTTTCCACACCTTCAGCTTGGCAGTGCGTTGACTAGTTGTGCTTGGGTGGTTTTGGTCAGTTGGCAGTGCGTCGACTTGAGAACTTTGGTTCCACACTTCTTGCTTGGCAGTGCGTCGACAAGCTGTGCTCGGGTTTTGGACATTGGATATTGGCTGTTAGTTGGCAGTGCGTCGACACGGCATCTTGGTTTACTAGTTGGCAGTGCGTTGACTCAGTACTTTTGGTTGTGTCAGTTGGCAGTGCGTCGACTTGACATTTTGGTTCTACTAGTTGGCAGTGCGTCGACTCAGTATATTGGTTGTATCAGTTGGCAGTGCGTCGACTTGATATTCGGGCTTTGCGTCGCCATCTGGACGCTGTCGCTACAAGGGATCTTAATACTTCGTATTAAGTTCTGACTTGTTATATTGTTGGTTGTGGATTGGATTAGTGTTGGTTGTGTTCGTATAGAAGATATTGGTTGAGACACCATTGTTTGCTATATATAAATTCTTGTCGTCGACTTTGTCTCCGCGACTATTGATCTGCGTCTATTGAGAGTTGTGATACTGGTGCTCTGTCCACCCCGAAGCCCTCGCATCTTTCACACACTGAGAAGCTGATTACGAGGAGTGTGAACGTGTTTATATTTGGGTTTACTTTCATAGTAGATTCACTTGTGAGCACGCCCTCAGCATTTCAACGACACTTGGCGTAGTCGGTAAGCCTAGGAGGGTTACCAGAGGTGGTGATAGCCTGGTTGATCTTCGGATCCAGGCCTGTCCTATATTTGGTCACCTTGACCAGATCGTCAGTATAGCCGGCAAGGTCAAGGAGGTTGTCGTATTTGTCCGTGTACTTGAACACGTTGTGGGAGCCCATATAATACAGATGGGTTTCTAGTTGTGCCAGGGTGGGGTCTTGCTTGTTCTCTTTGATGAATCGAAGCTTGAACTTGGTGACAAAGAGAGCCCAAGTAGGGAACAGGAAGGGGGTGCGCTCGGACATGCGCTGGCACCAGGAGGCTGCGGAGTCCTTGGACATGTAGGACAGGGCAAAGCGGACTACCTTTTCCCCTGAGACCACCCTATTCACAAAGAACGCCTTGGGAAGCCGGCGCCAGTACTACTTCACTGAGTGCAAGAAGCTCTTGCCCAGGGTGCAATCCCCATGGAAGGAGAAAGGAGGATTTGGGTGGATAAGGGGGTGCGCAGGGCTGGCGCCAGTAGAAACACCTGGACCCGCTGCCGGAGCTGGAGCAGGGGCAGGGCCAGGGGGTTGTTGTTGTTGAGAGATGAGGCGGGTGAGTACAGCCTCGATGTTCTGTATGCTGGTCTCCAGAGCAGACAGCCACTGCTGTTTGTTGTCCTCCATGCTCATCGGGTCTGCTTGTGGAGGGGAGGAGGGGGCAAGATAGGAGGCAAGGGGTTGGTAGTCTTGGTCGCTTGTCGACTCTTCTCCACTGGCGTCAGTGTCAAACCTTGCAATCTTGTCCAGTTATCCCTAGGAACACGGTTTCTGCTGTAAGGGCAACCTCAAGACCCGATCTCAGAGTTCTGGCAAGGGAGAATCCAAAGTGAATAATAGTGGTAGCTAGGTACAAGACCGGCATACCTGGCAAGGGAGAATCCAAAGAGAAACCGTGTTGGGGATTCTCCTTGCCAGGCGCCACTATTTATATGATACAGGAACAATAGACCGTGCAGTGACAAACAGGAACAATAGGAACAATAAGTACAATGGCCATGACAGAACAATAGGAACAATGGCACCACCTGCCATCAAAGAGAAGCGCTTGGCATGGCGGTCCGGGCTGCTGCGCGTGACAGCTGACAGGTTACACAAGCGCAATCACATGCCAGATCCCAGGCTGATCGGTCCGAAGCGGGGTTCCCCTGACAACTCCCAGCCACTTTGACCGAACTCAGATGCTTGAGATTTCAGCTGTGTTCCCGATGTGCTTCACAACATCCTGTTTTTTTGCCAACAAGGCTGCCGAAAACTCTGCGGCAGATCTAGCCAGCAACCTGCAGATGAAATACCGCACCTCAATCCACTGCGTTTTTGGATCGATGGGCAATGAGCTGTCTTTCGTTGCTCCTAATGCACCGGGGCTTATCCTCCACTCTTCAACCAATATAGTGGAGCTGTCAAGCTTGCCGGACATCATCAGCATGCTTAGTCCCTGGAAACTGGTTGCTGCCTCAATCCAACTACAGATTCTTCTCAGGCAGATAGGTCAATCTCTCTAATGCAAGGGAATGCAAGCCATCATCAACAACGGACTGAAGACTGTCACCAGACTGTTACAGGAGCCGACTACCAAGCTACCAAGTCACCCAGCAAGAGCTTCGAACGGGCTTCAGAACTAGTGCAGGGCATTGTCTAAGTCACAGAGCCTGTGTTCGATTGGTTCTGCTACTTGCCGCAAGTCTTACCCTCTGATATCCCCCTGACTTCCCAATGCAGTACGGAAATCAAATCTACATGCCACACCATCTGGCGCCAAGGGCAATCACGTCTCATCTCAGCGTTGCAGATCCCCATGCGAGAGTTTGTCAGTCGACCGTGCCTCCACATATCAACAGCAATTTGAAGATTCTCAATTTTTGGAAACCTTAGAGTAGCGATGGGCTGTTTTTTCATGACTGACATCTCCTTGTAAAAGAAGGCTGTCAGACCTCAGTTTGGGCTACATCAGTTGAAACATGGGGAAAATCACTTTCCGGGGCAATTTTTTATTGCACTGGACCAAGTTTCTGTGATTTTCATACTTAGTTGCACCGAAAAAAAGCTTCTGTAACTTTTGGAGACCTTAGAGCACCCTGTTTCAACTTAAACGTAAAAAGAAATGAAAGTACAAGCTGGGATTTGAACACATGACCTATACATAAAGTCATGTGACGTGTGTGGGGTGGGGTTGAGCAAGAGAGGTTCTATTCAAAATCACCCACGTTCCATGTGTCTTGCTGGATTTTTTCATCTCCCATGCTTTCGTTGTTGTCCCCATCCTCATCCTTCAACTGTGGACCTTGAGGCTTATCCGACCCCTTCCTATGTCATGCTCAACACTCTCCTGGCTTTGGAACAACATCTTTCCTCTATTCAGGATGGTGCTGTCATTGGATTCGACCTCGAGGGCACCTCTCTTCAGTGCACAGGCCCTCCCCTCAAACCTGCCAAGAAGAAGCTAAAATTGAAGGCTCAGATTTGAGAGGCTGAGGAGGGCATGTTTGCCATTGACTGGAGCTGGGTGTCTGCTTCCCTTGTCCAGATTGCAAGAGAGGATGGGATAGTTTTAATCCTCAACTTGCGTACAATACAAGGTCAGTACTCTCTACCGTTCTTTTCCTTTATTCACTGTCATTCTAGCTCTTCCTTCTGAGTTAGTTCGCATCTGTGAGAGCCCTCGTATTGTCAAGGTCACTGCAGGGATATTCAGTGCGTATCCCGTGCCTTTCTCAAGTGACATTACTGACTGATATGAAGGCAATGGTCAACACTTGTTTGATTCTTTCTGCCTCAGCCTCGACAATGCTGTTGAAATGCTGAGGGCGCGTTCACAAGTGAATCTACTGTGAGAAGTAAACCCAAATTGAAACACATTCACACTCCTTGTAATCAGCTTCTCAGTGTGTGAAAGATGTGAGGGCTTCGGGGTGAACAGAACACCAGTATCACAACTCTCAGTAGACGCAGGATCCAATAGTCGCAGGAGACGGAGTCGACAACAAGATATGTATATAGCAAAACAATGGTGTCTCAACCAATATCTTCTATACAACCAAAACCAACACTAATCCAACCACAACCAACAATATCACAAGTCAGAGCTTAATACAAAGTATTAAGATCCCTTGTAGCAACAGCATCCAGATGGCGACGCAAAGCCCAAAATGTCAAGTCAACGCACTGCCAACTGACACAATCAAAGTACTGAGTCAACGCACTGCCAACTAGTGAAACCAAGATGCCGCGTCAACGCACTGCCAACTAACAGCCAATATCCAATGTCCAAAACCCGAGCACAGCTTGTCGACGCACTGCCAAGCAAGAAGTGTGGAACCAAAGTTCTCAAGTTGACGCACTGCCAACTGACCAAAACCACCCAAGCACAACTAGTCAACGCACTGCCAAGCTGAAGGTGTGGAAACGATCTCAACAAAGCCCAAAGGCAATGACACCAAGTTGCCACGACTAAACCAGATGCGGCGAATCCGACTTTCTGATATCTCAACACTCAAACTCAAATCACAGTAGCTACAAGTGCTCAGGGAGCAACTCATTGCAACCAGGCAGGGGTAACACACTCTGGCAGATCGCGATTAATGTGGCCCACAATGAAAAATCTATATTTTAGATATTGCAGTACAAATGGTTGAATACAAAGTACATTGTGATATTTAAACTAATGTGATGTGTCAAAGGTACCCCAATTGATCAACTATTGCAGCAAAAAACGTTTCAAAGATAAAGGAAATATTGGAACCAAATTCCTGACACTCATTTGGTGGCACAAATATCAGCATATTGGGCGCCATAATGTCACCCCAAAAGTGGCAAAATGTTTTAGTGTGTTACTCAGCTCAATCTCTTTGAAAGAAAGTTCACAATCCACACTGACAATATTGGCCCTATTGCAGCGTAAAAAAAGTGCAGCCCAATATCACACATATTGGGCTCTAAAATATCTATTGGCTGATGATCAGCTGATGATCAGCCACTTGTGACAATCAACCAAAATAATAGTCGAAAAGAGAAGTGAATTTGAAGACTGGAGAATACAACCAAGTAGCTACAGTATTTATACCCAAATCCAGTCTGAGTCATATCTACAACTAATGAGTCATAGGGCTATGTACCGCATGGAACACTGGTCATGGGTTGTAGTAGAACCTTCCGGAGCATATGTCGCGCGGCCTTGAATCGATAAAGATGACCCCTGTTCCCCTAGCCCGGACCGTCAGATGCCGTGATCCGTGATAAGATAATCTGTGCTGAGATAAGATAAGATGGTCGATGATAAGATGAAAAAGGGTCAAATTATGACATTACCCCCTCTCTAGGGTCGATGTCCTCATCGACTAGGCCAATGAGTGTGAAGACATTCTCGTAGGGGTTGAAGAGTTGTCGCTGGGGATATGGAAGGCGCTCGTCTTTGGGTTTGTAGCGATGAATGAGATAATCCCAGTGTCCGGCTTCGAGCGTTGGCAGGAGGCAAATGCGTGTGTCTGGGTCGGATTGTTTCCTCTGCCAATCTCTCAGGACCTTCTTTGCGTGGGTAAGGTGACGTGACAGTTCCCACGTATTTTTGCTATACGGCCATCCCTTCCATTTGACCAAGTACTGCTTCCCTTGGCCGACTTTTTGTTCCTTTACGATTTCTTCAACTTCCCACTCTTCTGCTCCTCCGATCATCTTGGCTACTGGCCTCTTCTCTCGGCAATGGGGGGGTGGTTTGTGATAGGGTGTCAACAGTGACTCGTTGAACACTGGGTGTCTTCGGTCCGTGTCCGGCAAATCCAGCTTCCATGCAGCTGCTCCAACCTTCTCCAGTATCTCGTATGGCCCCAATCTCTTGTCGCTCATCTTCTTCGAGAGTCTGTCCGTCTTGATATTTTCCCCTTCTATGTACACCTTCATCCCAACCTTCAACTCCGGAACTTCTTTTCTTTGTTTATCGTAATATTTTTTCATTTTTTCATTTGCTTTTTCCAATGCTGCTTTTGCTTCGTCTTATATTTCTCCGATTCTTTTTACAAACTCCTCTGCTGACTCGTTCCTTGATTCCATCCGCTGCTCCACTCCCTTCCATGGGTGATATCTATGATTCACGTAGAACGGTGATATCTTGGTAGACGTGTTCATCTTGTCATTGTATGCAAACTCCGCCATTCCCAGCCACTCTGACCAGTCCGTCTGATGGTAGTTGACGTAGATGCGGAGATAGTGTTCGATCTCCTGGTTCATGCATTCCATTTGTCCATCTGTGATTGGGTGATATGCGGTCCCCGGATTCATCTCTACGCCCAACATCCGATTTGTCTCCTTCATGAAGCCTTTGATGTAACGTGAATCCCTGTCGGTGATGATCTTGCGGGGGATCCCGTGGTAGCGGAAGACTCGGTCCCTGGTTAATCATGCGACTCCTTCACTGCTGATGTCAGTACTAATTGGTTCGACATGGATCATTTTGGTGAAGGTGTCACACCACACATGAATTGCGTCATACCCATTACTGACCGGTAGGGGTCCGATTTGATCCATGGAGATGATTTCCCATGGCGCATTTGGGACTGCATGCGGGTGCAGAGTCCCTGTCCTTGCTCTCCTGGTCTTGGTCCGCTGGCACACCTCGCATGTCTGGATGTATTTCCGGA